TTTTTTTTTTTTCGTTTTTTTGGGTTTACATTGTTTGGTTAATTGATTTGTTTTACTATGAGAAAGAATGCAAGAAGTAATCTCAATCTTCGACGCGAGAATTGAGTTTGATCTGAGTTTTTGATTTTTTTTTTGAAGTTTTTGGGTTGTTTAAATTCTAGGAGTTTTGATTTTATTGAGTTTGGAATAAATGGCGAATGGACTGATCCAACAATGGTGTCAAAGGTGATGGAGTTGAGTAAGGAGTTGAGTAGGTTAATCCAATTAATCTTGGATGAAGATGACTCCCGGCCTGAAACTTTCGATCAAGCTATGGAAATTCTCTCTGCTCTGAAGGATTTTAAATGCAAGAAGTCGCTCTCGCATAAGGTTGATACTATCGCGTGTCCCGATCTTTTCCGGTGCCCTCTTTCCAAGGAACTCATGAAGGACCCTGTTGTCTTGGCTAGCGGAGAGGTTAGGTTTATGGTTATAGTTTATTTCTAGTTCGTCAATGATTTGTTCTATTTCTTCGTTTTTCTTTCATGTTTGTGTACCGTTGATCAAGTCGAAAACGTTTCTATTTGATACTGGTTTTGGGTATTCACGGTGTTCAATCATAAGTCTTTCTTTTTATAACTAATGAATTTTGTTTGGAAAAAGAATTTTTGAGTGTCAATTTTCATATTTACTTAATTATATTACTCCTTAAGATGACAAGGGTTAATGAAGATAGAAACGTCTGAGATTGTTGGTTTGCTTTCTTGAAGGATTACAATCTTAATTGGAAGATTTTCAGTGGCTGATTAGCTGTTACCTGTGATTTTTCAAAAAGCTGCAGATAGTTCTTTGTGATAGTCACTGTAATTCAGTTTCTAATTCATGTTACTATGATATAAATTCTGTTTGATTTCTAATCTCGGTMCGGCTATTTGTTTCTTTGATGCTCCTCTTTGTTTTAATACATGCAGACCTATGATCGACCATTTATTCAGAAGTGGTTAAAAGATGGGAATCTGATTTGCCCCAAGTCCAAAGAGATCATCTCCCAATCCGTTCTAATTCCCAATCTCTTGGTCCAGGACATCATTTCTGAATGGTGCAAGAACCAGGGAATCAAGCTACCTRACCCAGCTCAGGATTCCGACGAAGAAGGGATCACACAGGTAGCCATACAACATTTTGAGTCTTTGCTTGACGCTATACTATCTAATAATCTTTCAGGGCAGAAAAGGGCGGCAAAAGAGTTCCGGCGGCTGACCAAACGAGAGACCTCATTCAGGATTCTATTTGGCCGGATTCCACATGCCATTGATCAATTGCTCATGCCCATCACATCAGGCCGGGCATCTTTTGTTCCTGACCTCCAAGAAGATGTAATAACAACAGTTTTGAATCTTTCAATCCATGACAGTAACAAAAAACTTGTTGCAGAGACTCCGAAGGCAATTCCTCTGCTTGTTGAGTCCTTAATGTCTGGAACAATTGATACAAGGAGAAATGCAGCTGCAGCCCTGTTCACATTATCAGCCCTCGATTCCAACAAGGTCCTAATTGGGAAGTCAGGGGCTCTTAAACCCCTTATCAAGCTTGTAGATGAAGGACACCCATTAGCAATGAAGGACGCAGCTTCAGCAATCTTCACTCTTTGCTTCACCTTCGAGAACAGGGCGAGAACTGTTGATGATGGGGCAGTGGAGGTGATCCTAAAGAAGATCATGGAGCGGATATTGGTTGATGAGTTGCTAGCAATCCTTGCTATGCTATCTAGCAATCAGAAGGCTGTTAAGGAAATGGCTGATCATGGTGCTGTGCCATGTTTGCTTAGCATCATCAAAGAGACTTCCTCTGGACACAATAAAGAGAACTGTGTGGTTATCCTCTACAGCATTTGTTTTTCTGATCGGACAAAGTGCAAGGAAATCAGAGCAGACGAAAATGCCCATGGCACCATGTCACAGATTGCACAGAATGGGACACCAAGGGCTAAGAGAAAGGCTAACGGCATCCTGGAGAGACTTAATAGAGTTGCTATTAATACACATACAGCCTGACAAATTCCCTTTACAACATATTTTCTGTAGATATTGTTTCTTCTTTCAACATCCTACACATTTGTCCAATTGGGTACTCTGTAAAAAGATTTACATTCACATACATGTTTCATATTCAAACCCTAGACTTATGGGTAACACAGAACACTAGACCTGTATCTCTTAAGCCAAGATTCCTCTTCATCATAAATAAATTCTATGCAAAATTTTATTGGTAAGGGTTTCATCCTCTTCCATTTCATTTATAATTCCTATTCATGTGGTCTTACTAGATAATTGAACTATAGCAACGGGTGGCAATGGTAATTGCAGTAGCTATTGAACCCCAACTACACCCAGAGTGTTCATTCAAGGAGCTCATTCCCTTTGTTTGGTCATAGTGAAATAGTAGTTTTAGTATTAGTGGTAGAAACATGAATATCAGTACTATGACCCATCAAAATTTGGACTGTCTATTAGCTATACTCATCATCTGAATACAACAGATATTGTAGAAAGGTTAATGGTTACCCCATTAATGGTATTGGCAACAATGGCCAGAGAAGAAGTGGTCCACTGAATGAATGGAGAACAAGTTAGTGAAATGATGAGCCACATGTAGGGATCCTACCATACTTGTCTCCACCCACCCTCGCTTGTTGGTGCTGCTGCTGCTTAGTTCTTTCTTTAATGCTAGTTTTAGTAGTGAGAATAGATTAAAATTGTAGCTGATATCAACAAATTTTGGGTAGTCTGGCTCTGGTACAAATAGAAATGAACAGAAAAAAATGAAAATAAGGGTAAAGAGAGACAAAAGGATTGACAGAATGAGGGGCAAAAGAAAGTGACATGATTTGATTGATCAATCCACGAAGACTCAACTGGTAATGGTGTAAGGAACTAGAATTGTTTGAAAAACAGTGCAGCCAAGACAAATTTTTTTTTTCCCTGTAAGTAAGCTTCATTAAGATAAAACCAGAGCTAGTACATGGCAGAGGAGTATTTACAATTTTCATATTGTTCTGTCTCCTTATATATTGTATTACACAATTTTCAAAAGACATAGCATCGAGAATCTGATGAAATTGCAAGAGTTCCTGCCACGTGCCATATGCTTGATGTTGGTATTGATCCTATCTACAATTTCCTTGGCATCAGCGTGAAGCGAAAAACCATCCTGTTTGTGTTCCTGGTTGCTAGTAATCCTATGTAAAGCGCTTGGAGCTCTGCCTTCCCCATGCTTCAATTCAGGTACTTTCTTCCATGATGTGTATACCTGCATCAGAATGTATACAGATTCCAATGACAGCATGAATATTAGTGCTACTGAATGACCCATCCACATGAATATAGAATTTAGCATTTGGTGGAATTGATTGCTGCTGTGAATTTAAAATTGCTCGGCAAGAGTTGACTAACGTAGTGGTTGGTGTTCAACTGGCTTAGATGTTCTTGGACTTGTAGTACCAGCTGCATTGTTTCTTGCTTGCCATATACACCTGTATATGGTTGTTATTTTCTCAAACAGAACTATTTTATGCTTGCATTCTACTTGCAGGAAATCCAACTGTTGCTGCCTTGGATGGGCCGAGTGCAACAAAGTAAATTCACTTCCGAACTGAGCGCTGATCGATGAGTCTGAGATTTGCAGTTGCCGAGGGCCAATAGGTCAGCCCTATGAAGAGAGAGAAGATGTAAGAGGCCCTGGGTGTTAACCCGAGGYGAGGACTCTGACGATCAAGTTAGTGAGGGTGTGACGAGGGGTGGACGAGGCCTGAGTTAAGAGTGCTCAGATGATGCCATAAAGGAGACAATGAAATTCTCAGTAGTGAAGAGTCTAGATGCTCAACT